ATATTAACCGTTATTTATATAATACCTATTACATCAACCGGTAGATCAACCGTTAAATTAAAATGCACTCCTTGTATTAATACTTGCACCTTGCATTAATCTGGATAATTTATCGGATAATCCGGTTATCCATCCATTTATCTATTTTATCCATTTATCCATTTGATATCCAGATATCCATGGATAAGTGGATAAATGGATAATGGATTGGAGCTCTAATTTAATATTTATTTAAATAAATATAATTATATACATAAACAAAACAGTCTTGAATTAAACTCAGTCAGCCAATAATAACTTATAAAACATAATCATAATCGCACGATAGCATTGATATTGAATCATGCAATAGATAAATATTATAAAATTTGTTCTGCTAGAACAAATAGTTGCTGAAATATGCCTCTGCACAGCACATGCCAGCTAACTATTTGCTTTGACAAACCAAATTCATGATATTTATTCATCGCTTGACCAATATCTTTTAATTTTCACCAATTAATACCATTCGGATCTTACAAATGGCAATTTTCAAAATTTCCATAGAATTACCAGACTTCATATAATATGAAAATGCATTTTGCTTCTTGATTTCATCGCCAATTCCTAAATAAAAACAATAACAACTTGATATATTCCGTTAGAATTCCTCATATCTGCTGATTTTTTGTAATGCATGAACATTATTTCAATTAAAAATTTCAAACCTATATTAGCCATTAATGCTTTAAAAAAAAAAAAAAATTATATTACAGAAAGTAAATCTTTAAATACCATTAAACGCTTTTACTAATAGTTTTTATGCCTTATACAGAACTATACCTTTTATAGATCGTTTGGATCTCTCTTGTAATCACCTAACGCAACTTGATTACAAGTTTTTAAGAACGAATTAGCTGTTGAAGTAACACTTTCTAGAAAAAAAACTTTAAAAAAAAAGTACTTCCCGAGCCTACTTAGCTATATACTATTAGAATAATAGTAAAAATGCGGCATTAGTAGAAGTCGCCCGGGAATCTGATTATATCTGATTAAATTTGCCAGCCGCTAATAAGGCCAAAGACCAATATATTCTGAAAGTTATTCGCTCGTAAGTGAGTACGTTATAGCTTTACGTTGAAAATCTTTAATACAACTATCAATCTCACTATCTCCGCTTAAACATCCTTGCTGAACATTTATTTCGGAATCACATGTCTGACACCAGGCATAAAAAATGTTAAACTGTTGTTTTTACACTTTTCATAGTTTCCATAAATGGAAGATCTGCGTGAATTAATCGATTTTGATGTTATAAAACGCTTAACTTTTATGAAGCAAATTAATCATAAGTTAATAGGGATACTCACCGCCTAGTTTAACACGCAAGTGAAAATGATATTTAAAAGACTATTAACAATAAAATGGGTACATTATTTTATAAATAACTATGTACTTACGTCCTGGTAATTTAATAGAAAACGAAAGAATAAAGAATATTTAATAGAGAATAAAATGTGTACATTTTTTATGAATAAACTGCAGTACGTATATACTTACGCACTAGTAATTTAACACGTCGAAATAACAGATAAAAACATTTAATAGAGTTCTATTGATAATAAAATGTCTGCATTATTTTATGAATAAACTGTACACATACTCCCTGATAATTTAGCACGTAAGCGACAGGACAGAGAAGTAATATTTATTAGAAAGTTCTATTGACAATAAAACGTGTACACTATTTTAAGAATAAACTATGTACTTACGAACTGGTAGTTTAACATGTAAGTGGAAGAACAGTGAAGTATATTTAGTAGAAAACTATTGATGATAAAAATGTATACATTATTATTTATAAATATACTATAATTACCGTCTAGTAATTTAACATATAAATGAAAAAAAACAAAGGTAGAATAAAGTGTGTACATTGTTTTATGAATAAATTATAATTACCGTCTAGTAATTCATCACGTAAGTGGAAAAACAAAGAAGTAATATTTAATAGAGAATTTTAATAATAATAATAATAATATGTGTTCATTATTTATTAATAAACTATATACTTACAAGCTGATGGTTTAAAGTGATATAATATTTAATAGAAACTCAATTGTGAGTAAAATGTGTACATTTTATGAATAAACTATAATTTACAACTGGCAATTTAAGATGTGAGTAAAAGAGCAGAGAAGTAAGATTAAATAGAGAATTTTATTTATGATAAAATGTGCACTGTACATTATGCTATGAATAAACTACAATTACCGTCTAGTAATTTAACACATAAATGAAAAAAAAAACGAGAAAAGCAAAATTTAAAGGGAGTTCTATTGATAAAATGTAAATATATTATTTTATGAATAAACTATACACTTACAAACTGGTAATTTAACACGTAAGTATAAAGAAATTATATTTAATAGAGAATTCATTGGCATTAAAATGTGTACATTATATTATGAATAAGCTATATACTTACTTCCTGGTAATTTAACGCGTAGGTAATATTTAATAGAAATTTCTATTAATGATAAAAAACGCATACATTATTTCATGAGTAAACTACAGTATATATATACTTACGCCCTGGTAATTTAACACGCAAGTGAAAGAACCGAGAAATAATATTTAATAGAGAATTCCATTGACGATAAATGTGTGCGCATTATTTTATGAATAAACTATATACTTACTCCCTGGTAATTTAACACGTAAGTAAAAGAACAGAGAAGTAATATTTAATAGAGAATTCTATTGACAATAAAATGTGTACATTATTTTGTGAATAAGCTATATACTTACTCTGGTAATTTAACACGTAAGTGAAAGAATCGAGAATTAACATTTAGTAGAGAATTCTATTAACGATAAAATGGGTGTACATTGTTTTATGAATAAACTTATATACTTACTCTCTGGTAATTTAGCACGTAAGTGAAAGAACCGAGAATTAATATTTAATAGAGAATTCTATTGACGATAAAATGTGTGTACTTTATTTTATGAATAAACCATATACTTACGCCCTGGTAATTTAACACGTAAGTGAAAGAACCAAGAAATAATATTTAAAAGAAAATTCAATTGACGATAAAATGTGTGTGCATTATTTTATGAATAAACTAGATACTTATTTCCTGGTAATTTAACACGTAAGTGAAAGAACCAAGAAATAATATTTAATAGAGAACTCTATTGATGATAAAATGTTTGTACATTAATTTATGAATAAACTATCTACTTACCTCCTTGTAATTTAACACGTAAGTGAAAGAACCAAGAAATAATATTTAATAGAGAATTCTATTAACGATAAAAAGTGTGCACATTATTTTATGAATAAACTATATACTTACTTCCTGGTAATTTAACACGTAAGTGAAAGAACCGAGAAATAATATTTAATAGAGAATTCTATTGACGATAAAATGTGTGTACATTATTTTATGAATAAACTATATATTTACCGACTGGTAATTTAACATGTAAGTGAAAAAGCCAAGAAATAATATTTAATAGAGAATTCTATAGACGATAAAATGTGTGTACTTTATTTCTGTATTTTATGAATAAACTATATACTTACGCCCTGGTAATTTAACGCGTAAGTGAAGGAACCAAGAAATAATATTTAATAGAGAATTCTATTGAGGATAAAGTGTGTGTGCATTCTATTGTCGATAAAATGTGTGTACTTTATTTTATGAATAAACCGTATGCTTACTCTCTGGTAATTTAACACGTAAGTGAAAGAATCGAGAATTAACATTTAGTAGAGAATTCTATTAACGATAAAATGGGTGTACATTGTTTTATGAATAAACTTATATACTTACAAACTGGTAATTTAACACGTAAGTGAAAGAACCGAGAAGTAATATTTAATGGAGAATTCTATTGACAATAAAATACATTATTTACTGAGTAACGATAAATGATATTCTATACCCACTTCTTTACAATAACATTGCTGGCTTTTAACGCCCATGCATTAGTTTTGTCGATTTTTAATAAATTACTGACTTCTTCATGTGATTCATCGTATTTATTTAGTATAAAATAAGTTTCAGCACGGTATCTTAATGCAAATGTATTATTCGATTCAATTTTTAGCAATCCTGTTAAATCCTCAAGCGCTTTTTCATATTTGCCAATAATAAAATAGATTTTTCCACGATATTTTAATGCAATTGTATCATTTGGTTTAATTTTCAATGAATTCGACAAATCTTCAAGTGTTTTTATATATTTATTAGGACATTGATTAAGATGTGGCCTCGTTAAATTTTTTATAAAATTCTAATAGCTAATTATAAATTTTATGAGTGTTTGTTACATTCATGTGGAGATAGCAAAATATAAAGTTATACAAAATATTCTTACCTATATAATTTACTCTAAGCCCATTTTCATCCACGCTTAAAAGAGTGGATTTATCATTAACACTCCATGCAGTTGGCAAAGCCATACAGTATACTTAATTCACTTATAAATTTATAAATAATGTTATTAATGAAAATATCCTTTACTATTACGATATATGAATTGACAATATCTTTTCTCCTTGAAATCATGTGGTCAATTATGTAAGACCACAATTATTCAGGGAATAAATTTTTACTTACTAGCTTTCCCTCTCGAGCACTCATATATATTAGATAATTTTCTCGTAACTGATCATCAAAACTAACACTAATGAATGTTATAGGATTAATGATTAATAAATGCTATATATGATAACGATAATTTAAATTCTAGATTTTTTTTTAATTTATTTTTTTATAATAATTGTTTTAAAACTTGAATAATTAAGATATTCACAAAACTTGAATTATGAAAAGTCCATACATAAACTTGAATAATGAAAATGCTCAAAAAATATATACTTTAATTACAGTGTCCATGATGAATAAACATTAATCAAAATTCGCAAAATGAAGTAACAAAAAAAAAAATGGGTTATAATAGTTATATAATCTAATAAACTCCATTTAATCATTATTAAAATGAATTTAATCCAATTCAAGACGATTATCTTCTTCTTCATTTTGATCAATAGCCATTTCTATTTCATTTTCATTATCATAATTGCCTATATCATGATTTCTTCTTACGATGAGATCCATACCATCACTTGTAGTTGTCACATAAGCTGTTTCACCAGTTCGAACACCGCCATCTAATACAATTTACAAAGGTAAGTAAGAATTACTATAACCTAACAAAAAATAAAAAATAAAAATTTATGATATTTATCGTTACCTATTAAGAGTCTACTTAAAGGATTCAAAATTTTATGTTTAATCAGCCTATTCAATGGACGAGCACCATAAACAGGGTCGTAGCCATTTTCAGCTAGCCATTCTTGAGCGTTATCATCTAGACTCAAAGTAATTCGTCGCTCTTGTAAACGATCATTAAGTCCCTTTAATTGAACCTCAACAATTCTTCTGATATCTAAAAAAAAAAGAATTAAAAAGAATTATTTAAAATTATAAAACATAATAAAATTTTTTTGTAAAAATGAATAAATAAACATACGTTGACGTCCTAGGGGTGTAAAGATGATTATATCGTCCAGACGATTTAGAAATTCTGGTCTAAAGTGTCTTTTAACATCACTCATGACAGCATCTTTAACACTATCATTTATGGTGTCTGTAGTTAAACCTTGAAGATGGTAGTATCCCAAATTACTTTATATATAATATAAAATGAATTAAAATGTTGTATATATAAAAAAACAATAATGAAAATAATTAAAAATTTATTTGATTTATACCTTGTCAAGATAATTACAGTATTACTAAAGTCAACATGTTTGCCTTGCCCATCAGTTAAACGACCGTCATCCAATACTTGTAATAAAATGTTTAGAACTTGGACGTGGGCTTTTTCTACTTCATCAAATAAGATTACGCTATAAGGACGTCTTCGTACTGCCTCAGTAAGCTGACCACCTTCATCGTGACCAACATATCCTGGAGGAGCACCAATAAGGCGAGCAACTGAATGACTAAATAAATAAACATATTACGTTATTTAAGAAATAAAATTTTAAATCAGATAATAATAATGTTAATAAAACATATATATACCTTTCCATAAATTCAGACATATCTATCCTTATGATATATTTTTCGTCATCAAAAAGTTCTTGTGCGAGAGCCTTACTAAGTTCGGTTTTACCAACACCCGTTGGACCAAGAAATAGGAAACTTCCAAGTGGTTGATTTTCACGAGCCAATCCAGCACGACTTCTCAATACAGCATTAGCTACAGCTTGTACAGCTTCATCTTGCCCAACAACTCTTTTATGAAGGGAATCTGCAAGAGAGAGTAAACGCTCTGCTTGAGATTTAGATAATCGTGAAACAGGTATACCAGTCCAACGGGAGACAACTTCTGTAATCTGTTCAGGACCAACAACTTCAGTTAAAAGGTTATTAGTATCTTCTTTAATTTTCTGCGATTGTAGAGTGGCAATACGTTGTTCAACTTCAGGAATAGCGTAATATCTAAGATCAGCAGCCTGATCAATATCACCACGCATTTCAGCATAATCAGCTTTATTTTTCAATTCATCTAATTTTTGTTTAAGAGTTCTAATTTCATCAAGTCGACTTTTATCATGTTCATATTTTGCTTTTAATGGTCTTAATTGTTCTTGAATATCAGCCATCTCTTCTTTAACTTTTTTAAGACGTTGACGACTAGGTTCATCTTTTTCTTTTGCTAATGCAGCAGCTTCAACTTCTAATTGTAGATGACGACGTTCTAATTGATCTATAACTTCAGGTCTAGAATCAAGTTGAACACGAGTATTTGCACAAGCTTCATCCATTAAATCGATAGCCTTATCGGGTAAAAATCGATTAGTAATATATCTAGCAGATAATTGAGCAGCAGCAACAAGGGCAGCATCCGTAATTTTAACACCATGATGAGTTTCATAACGATCCTTTAAACCACGAAGAATACTAATCGTATCAACTACTGAAGGTTCACCAACTAAAACTTGTTGAAATCTTCTTTCAAAAGCAGCATCTTTTTCTACATGTTTACGATATTCATCTAAAGTAGTAGCACCAATACAACGTAATTCACCTCTGGCAAGCATAGGTTTAAGTAAATTGGCGGCATCCATTGAACCTTCAGCTTTACCAGCACCTAATACTAAATGAATTTCATCAATAAAGAGGATGATGCCTTCTTCTGATTCTTTTACTTCTTTCAAAACTGCTTTTAAACGTTCTTCAAATTCACCACGGTACTTTGCACCAGCTATATATAACATATATTTTTGAGTTAAAATTTTTGTATTTGTATTACAATATAATTTTTTAAAGAATGATATATATATATATATATATATTTATTTATTTACCAACTAAAGCGCCCATATCCAAAGAGAAAAGTTTGGCATCTAATGATCGTGGAACATCTTTCCGTACAATTCGTTGCGCTAGACCTTCTACTATAGCAGTTTTACCAACCTTTTATTATATAAATAATAATAATATTTTAGTATTTTTCATTTTAAATTATTATAAAAGTTTATTTTTTTTTCTTTTTCTATTAAACGGATTAAAAACTTACTCCTGGCTCACCGATTAAAACCGGATTATTCTATAATAAATAATTGAATATATAATAATTAATATATATTATAAATATTCAAATTACATATTTTTGATTATATGCATACTTTTGTTCGCCTTGCAAGAACACGAATGACACGGCGAATTTCATCATCTCTACCAATTACAGGATCTAGTTTACCGTCTTTTGCTAGAGCAATTAAATCGACGGCATATTTACTTAAAGCTTCATAATTTTCATCACCACTCTTTGATTCCACTCTTCGATTTCTATTATTAAAAATATCACGTATAAGTAACTTAAAATTAAAATAAATCGAAGAAGACTAGATATTAATTATAACATACCCTTCTGTCTTTTGAGAAGATAAAGCCTTTTTTATACGTATTTGTCATCCGATTTTAACTTTCGATTACCGTCGATTAATAATCATTTCATAACATCGGATCACCGAGATCACGTGTTGGCGTAGCTTTCGTGAAACAATTGTCAAACCTTCTAGTTACTTCTCAATTTGTCTAGATTGTTAATACTATATCAAATATGGTGATGTACTAAAGACAGTTCATAAAAATTTGAAATCAGGTGATATATTATATGATACTGCTTTCCGTGATTAAAGTTATTGACGTTTTCTATTTTGATTGATCATCGTTTGCATTATATATGTAATATTTACATTCACAAGGCAAGTGCATATTTTGATAATGAATAAATAATGTAATCGTTACACAATTGATCTTTTAACCTTAACATATTAATTAATTAAAAAATTGGTCCTAACCCTAATCACCAGAATCATCTTCAATCTTCAAGTTAAATTACGATAAAGAATATATAATGTTCTGATCTACCTCTGTTGAAAAAAATTGAAATATTTTTTGTAAAAATTTAATTTTACAAATAAACAAACAAGCAAGTTA